ATATATATATATATATATATATATATATATATATATATATATATATAAACAATTTAAGAATACTTGGATAAGGTTTTTTTAAGAAATTACTTTTGAAGTCGAAACAAAGGTAAAAGAGAGCTGTCTTCATTAAATTCTATGGAAAGAGACATGATGAAGGATGCAGAGGGAAAAGACAGAGTGAGTCTTCTCCTGTTAGCTATGCTCTATTATCTTCCACTTGAAACTACCTCCTCTCTCACTCAATTTCTACCATGCCAAATAATATTTCTGATATAGAACAGTTATTTGTTTACAGCATTGGAACTATTGAAGATATGATGTGTAACGCGGAATGTGGTGACGACATAAGTAAAAATACACAAATTTCAAGCAATGTGGAAGAAGAGTTGATAGTCATTACTTCTAATAAGAAGAAGATGACAAACAAACAGCACGTATATATTAGTCATTTGGTATTGTCTACATGTGTCTTAGCCATGTTTATTGCCTACTCTTTTTCTATACGTTCACACTGATCACTTTGGGAAAAAAATACTACTCGATGTTTCTGAGTATTTTGTTTTAAAATTAATTTTTTGATTCAGAAATTTTGTAGAACCATAAATGAGAGAAGAAGATATATGCATACGATGATAATTTCTTTTGTCGCTTTTCTCATATACCATCACGCTTCTTTTGGTCCCTTGATATCACAATGCCTAATTTGACCCTTTATCCCTGCTGAAATGCATATTTAGTTTTATTTTGGGTATATATATTGCTGTCACATCCTGCATAAAAGATGCCTAACACATATTGTTAGTCATCGAGTTAGTTATATACATAGAAAATACATACATACACGTTTATGTTGGTATGTATTAGAGGGATTCACAATAAAATTAATTATGTGAATGGTATACTTTAAATCCAAATAATAATGTGTCTTGCATCCGTTTTGGAACCCATGAAGAATAATTAATGAAAGACGTCGTTCTCAAAGACATTTAAGAAGAAAGTTTTTTAAAAGGGTCACATGCACATACTCTTTGTCACATCAAAACACATAGAGTCTGTATGTATACATGATGTTCATCTGTATATGCATTTATTTAGTCATAAAAAAGCTAGCTTTCACCTTTGTATTAAATGAAAATGCAGGGTAATAGTAAAGATGATTGGATATTCACTGAACAACCCACCTCCCTCTTCTATCAAGATAAAAGAAACTTGTGTTAATTGTGCCTTTTGCTTTTCTTTTTAATATATATATA